GCCTGGGGACCTGAATTCCTAGGTCCCTAAGGGGCTGAGCCTGGGTCTCTGAGGGGCTGGGGACCTGGGGCCTGATTCCTGAGGAGCTGGGAGCCATCCTTCAGCCTGGTCCCCACACAATACCCTCTTCCATCAGAGAGCGGTGGGCATGGTCAGAAAGAAATCCCCAAATCTCCCCGTGTGGGCCTGGAATGTTCGTGCAATTCCTGGGATGAGCTGGCCCAGCCCTGGGTCCCTGGGGATGTGCTGGGATCAGGGGGGCAGGGAGGTGTGGGCAGTGGGCCCAGGAAGGCCTTCTGAAGAAAGGACATGGACAAGCCAATTTCTGGACCCCACCCCCCGAGCCCCCTCCAACCTCTCTCTTCGTCCCAACAACGCACAGGAACGAAACCAGCCCGGCTCCAGACCACAAGGCTCCAGGAAGATGAAAATGCAGAGCCAGCCTCCCCCCACTCCACAGGAGCCTTCCCTCTTCCTGTTGACAAGATCACTGCAGGGGTGGGGGTCGGGGAGGGGAGCATGAGGGGTGTGAGTGAGGGGGGGGCTAGCCCCCCCCCGGCTCCTCCAGGAAGGGGGCCCAGGTCCTGCCCTTGGGCGGCTCCCAGTCCTGGGGCAGATGCCCGGTTAATGTAGGAGCTCGGGGCTGGGGAAAGACGAATGCAGAGGGCTGTGGGGACTTCGGGGGGGGGGGGGGGGGGCAGGGAGGCCTCTGAGCAAACTGAACGAGTGAGTGAGTGAGTGAGTGCAGGAACAAATGAAGCTCAGGGGAGGGGGCTGGGCGGAAGATCAGTATGTGGGAAGTCAGGAGGGATTGGGGTGGCAGTGAGAAGTCCCTGAGGGGAAACTGAGGCACGCATGGGGGCGGGGAGGAGAGCAGAGGCAAACGGGAGGGCGGCTAGTGGAAGAGCACTACTTTTTCCCATCAGCCTCTCCTTTGGAACAGCCTGCAAAAGGCACCCTTGTGTGTGTGTGTCTGTGTGACTGTGTATGCCTGTGGCTGTCTGCATGTGCTGCGTGGGCCTGGAATGTTCTCTGTATGTCTGTGTGTTTCGTTTCCGTATATGTTTCTGTGCATTTCTTTTATTTTTTTTTTAATTTTTTTTAATGCTTTATTTATTTCTAGGGGAGAGAGAGAGAGACAGCGTGAGCAGGGGAGGGTCAGAGAGAGAGGGAGACACAGACTCTGAAAGAGGCTCCAGGCTCTGAGCTGGCAGTCAGCACAGAGCCCGACGCGGGGCTTGAACCCACAAACCGCGAGATCATGACCTAAGTGAAAGTCGGACGCTTAACCGAATAAGCCACCCAGGCGCCCCTGTTTCTGTGCATTTCTGGGGGGGGGTGTTTTGGTACATGTGATTATGTTACTTGTGCTTCTGTGCACATTGGGTGTGTCTATCTTGTATCTGTGGGTTGTGTGTGTATCTGTATTTTGTGTGTGTTTTATGTGGACCTGCGTGTGTATGTGGGGGGTGGGTGGGTGGGTGTGTGTGTGTCTGTGGTTAAGTCATGTAGTGATTATTGGTCACCACGTGTCTCTGCGGTGATGGTATCACATCACTCCGTGTGTGTGTCTCTGTGTGCCTGCGTGTTGGGGGCCACACCAGTATCCCTCACTCAGCTGTCACTTGAGCCCAACCCCAGTCCTGCAGAATTTTCCAGAACACCCGGGTCCTGCAGGCGGTGATACGGCTTCCGAGCCTGTCAGGGAGGCCAGGACCATGGGGTTTCCAGGGCCGAAAGCCCAGTGCTCTCCTCCGTTGGGGACACTGAGACCCAAAGAGGGCAGAGACTGCGGAAGCCACACGGCCAAGGTCGGGGGAAGTGGCAGGGCAAGCCCCTCGCTGGGACCCGGGGCCTCTGGGAGAAGACTGAGTGGATTTTCCCGGGCTGGGGGGGAGGGGAAGGGGCACCAGCTCAGGGCTTTGTGGTTGCAAAGCCCCAGTGGGGGCCTCTGGCAGCCAGCTTGAAACCGGGAGGAAAATCCAACCTCACCTACGTCCCCTCCAGTCTAAACTAGCTCTTCCCCCGGGGACCCTAACCCAGCTTTTCCGGCACCTAAAACTGACCTGTGGATTTGTGAATTTTAAACTTTGTTTTCATGCTGCATCGTGGATGAACCTTGAGGACTTCACGCTAAGTGGAGTCCCCTCCACAGAGACGGGAAGTAGATGGTGGGAGCCAGGGGCTGGGCGAGGCAGAGTTGGTGTTTCAGGGGGACAGAGTCTCAGTTTGGCAAGATGGAAAGTTCTGGAGATGGATGGTGGGGATGGTGGCCCAGTGGGAGTGTGCTTAATGCCACTGCAAATGATGAAAATGGTGAATTGCATGTTCTATATATTTTATCACAATGAAAAATGAAACTTCCCTCACAAGAACTGGGACTTTGTTCTCAGAACCTGGCACACAGTAGGTGCTCAAATAATGGTTGTTGAATAAATGAAAAAGGAGAGGTCATCCGTCCACAGCAGATGGAGAGACAGACAGAGAGAAAGTGTGTTCAAGCCTCAAGCCAGCACCTTCTCCTTCTCAACTGGGGGGTGATTCTGCCCATCCGACGGCATTCGGCGATGTCTGGTGATGTTTCTGGCGGTCGTGACTAGGTGGGAGGGGGTCTATTACTGGCAGCCAGAGGGTAGAGGCCAGAGATGTTGCTAAAGACCCTGCAACCACAGGACAGTCCCCGCCCCAACAAGGAATCATCCGGCCCCAGTGTCAACAGAGCATGAGAAACCCGGTTTTAAAGCCACCTCCTCTTGCAAGCCCTCCAGGATTCGACACACCCACTTCCCTCCCGCTCCACACACTCCCTCCTTCCTTACTCCATTCTGCAGCAACAGGAGAGACTGATCAGGTGGGGAGAGCCTGGGGCTGGGCCACCAGGATGGGCTTGGGGTCAGGGTGGCTGTTCCTTCATCATCTTTGCATTGAACTTGGGGCCCTGTCCTAGGTGCTGAGGTTCTAAATTTGGCTCCTTTCCGCGCAGGGCACAGGTGAGGAGGGCTGGGGATCCGAACCTCCTTGGCGGTGAGCCGGGGTTGAATAGGGTCAGGGCCGTGGCAAGGGTGGGAACCCGCTTGGGGATCCTTTATGGTTGTCACAGGAGCCCTGAGTCGTTCCCACTGAGTCCAGAGCCAGGTCTGTGCTGAGCGAAGGGGGCTGCCCCAGCCTCAAGGATCCCAAACGCGAAAGAAGAACCGACACCCTCGGATGGGGGCCCACATCCGCACGGTTTCCTGTTTTTCCCTTGAAGTGAGCAGAGCCGTGGGTCGATACCGCAGAAGGGAAGAGGGAGGGGTCGATCGCGTGACAGGGTTACTGCAGCCCCGAGTAGGGGGGTTGAGATTTCACCCCCAAAGCATCCTCCTGTCTAAGTTCCACTCTGCACGAGCCGTGGAACCCTCTGGAAGGACACGGTGGACACAATGGGCACCAGTCTGGACTGGGGCTAGGCACCTGGGCTGCAGAGCTCTCAGGAGCTCAGAACACCGACCTGCATCCCCTCCCCATCCTCGATTCGACACCCCCTACCCCGTCCTGTGTCTTCACTGCGACCCAGCAAGCCTTCTTCCCAAACTTTCTCCTCTTCCTTGCTGTGTCCTCGGCGCTAGGACAGCCTGACTGTCCACCAGACACTCCGACTGAGACCCCGGCAGTCCGAGTACCCGCCCCCCAACCTCACCCAACCTCACCCATCACCGAGGCCCATCTCTTCTCACACCCGTCTCTTCGTCCCCGCAGCCACCGCCCCAGACACCTCCTCTGGCTCCTGAGCCAGGTGACAGCTCCCCAATGTCCCCACCGCCACCTGGCCCCATGATGACACTCAGGATCCACACACCCCCCAAGGGCTCCTGCTGCCTCTGTCTACACAGCAGCCCCAGTGACCTCTCTCTGGTGCCCACCTGACAACTCTCTTCCCCACTCACAGTGACCATCTCCTGTCACTTGGCAAACCATGCCGCGGGCTCAAGTCCTCACAATTAGTCCAGATCAAGGTCGAGAGGGACAGTAGAAGCCCTGAATGAACAGCCTCAACCCAACAGTCATTCAGTCAGTAGACATGTACTGAGGGCCACCCCTCCATGCTGGAGACACAGTGTGACACATGAGGCAGCACCGTCCCTGCTGTCCTGGAGTGCAAAGTCCAGGGGACATGCAGGGCCAGCCCCCTCCCCCATCTGGTGTGCATCTTCCAGAGCAAGAGGCAAGGCATCAAGCCCGGAGGACGGAGGTAGCCCTTCCAGGCATGGGGGTTCAGAGTGGAAAGAGGGGTAAGGACCAGAGGACACATTTTAGGGAAGAAGGGCAGGGTGTGAGGTGTCAGGAGTCCCCATAAATACAAGGCGAGGTGCATGGTGGTTAGGGCTGCAGACTTGGGACCCACGCTGCCTGGGCTCAAGTCCCGGCTCTGCCGTTGATGAGCTGCATAACTTTGGGCAAGTTACTTAACCTCTCTGTGCTCCACATTCTTCACCAAGAAGGCGGCATTAAGAACAGAAGCATCTACCTCATAAAGTGCCAACATTCAATGTGTTGATGCACCCCGGACACCGGGAACTGTCCCCCACCACACACTGCTATTAAATGCAACCATGTAACAAAATCGTTACTATTTGACCAGAATGTTATCTCATGGATCCGTTTCTTCCCTCCGGCCCTCTTTGTTCATCCCTCTCTCCATTTCTCTCTCTCTCTCTCTCTCTCTTTTTCTCCCCTCTTCCTTGACACTGTGGCACAATGACTTAGCCACGTCAGTTCAATCCTGACTCCACTACTTACTTCCCCCAGCACTCTGGGAATGTGGGTTAGCATCTCTGCTAAAACCTCAGTTTTGCTCACCTGAGTAATGGCGCTAATAATAGCACGGACTTTACCCAGTTGTGGGGAGGCCATGCGAGTAGTATGGTTAACCAGGTGGCAAGCCCATAATTAGATCTGTGAAAATAGAAGCCGTGGGTGGGCCCGCTTTCAGAAGAAAACTGTCTCTCCAGCCTCAGCACCTCACCAGCGCCCGTGGCCCCGCCGGCCTCTCCAATCCGCCCCAGCGGCCCGGGACAGCGCCGCGGCCACAACAATGTGAGTGCGTGATACTTGTGAGCGTGTGGGTGCGCGACTGCGTGACTGTGTGTGAACATGTGAGCACATACGTGACCCTCTGTGTGTCTGCGTGTGTCGGGGCCAGAGGTGGGAAGCGGACATTAAAGCTTCCCTGAAAGAAGTGGCCTTGGGGCTGAGTCTCAAGGGAGGGAAGGGGGATGGGCAGGGGGCAGCGTGGACAGAGTCAGCAGATGTGCGGGGTCCTGGGTCGGGGAAGTTGAAGCCAGCGCCTGGCGATGACTGACAACAGATGAGCTTCGTGGGTGCCCCGGGGGCTGATCATAGGGGCTCCGATTGCACATGTCCTGGGTTCAAGTCCCCATCCTACCATTGTGTGGCGTGGACAAATTACTTACCTTCTCAGGGCCTCAGTTTCCCCAGCTCCCCGCCAGTAGGTTAACTGAGCACCTGCTGTGTGCCAGGGCCTCGCACACCCATCGTTCTTCATCCGGTGGGGTTGGTACTGTTGCCCCTAGTTGACAGATGAGCAAACTAAAGTCGCTCATCCTGGGAGAAGCCAGGACTCAGCCCCCCGATGTGTCCAGCTCGGGCTCAGGCAGGCTTGGCTCCAGGATGGTGACGCATCTTCCATGATGGCGCCAGGTCCAGTTTGAGCCGCCACAAATCAGAGCCTGGTCGCCCCACATCTCCACCTCCTCAAGGCTCAGAGAGGGAAAGCAAATTGCCTGTGGTCACACAGCAAGAGAGGCAGACTGTAACCAAACCCACGCTTTTTGGCACATAACAGGTGCTTTAAAGTCCAGGGACTTTGGGGCGCCTGGGTGGCTCAGTTGGTTAAGCCTCTGACTCTCGATTTCGGCTCAGGTCATGATCTCACGGTTCATGGGCTAGAGCCCCAAGTCGGGCTCTGTGCTGACAGCATGGGGCCTGCTTGGGATTCCCTCTCCCTTTCTCTCTGTCCCTCCCTGCTCACTCCCTCTCTCTCTCAAAATAAATAAACAAACTTAAAACATTTTTTTTAAAAGTCAAGAGACTTTGAAGATGCCTTGGGCGCATTGCGGAGGAGGAAGCTGAGGTCTGGTGACGGAGTTTCTACACCGCCCAGCAAGACCCAGCATACAGTAGATGCCTGATAAATGTTTAGGATCTGAAGACCCATTGTGTGTGTGCGGCACCTTGCTGAAACACTCCCATATGTTATCATCTCATGTGATCCAACCATGACCTCGTGAGTTGGGTACGATCATCACTCCCGTTTTATAGCAGGGAAACTGAGGCTCAGAAAGGTTGAGTCCCAAGCCAAGTTGGCCTGGCAGCAATAGCAACAGGCTGATGATGATATTTTTTACTGCCACGAACCAGACCTTGATCACAGCACTTGACACATTCATGGAGAGCACACCACCAGCCTATGGTGTAGGTAATATTGGCATTTTATGGATGAGAAAATTGGTTTTGAGGTTCAGTCCTTTGCTACATTTATGAGGCACCTGCTGTGTACCTTGCCTGTGCTGGCTCTGGGGCGCCCCCCTCTGGTCTCAGGCCCGTGACCCTCCACACACCAGCTGCATCTCCCAGTGAAAGGCCACCTTGACTCCGGGTCACGGACGAAACAAATGAGCCAATGGTCACTGCGCTCCTCAAGTCCCAGATGCTGTCCTGTGTGGTAACCAGGCCTGACATCTCACCTTAATGTTCCTTAGAACCCAGACCCCCACCAGAGCTGCGACGTTACCCATTAAGTGGACTGCCTTGTCAGGTGGTGAGCAGCCTGTCACTGGGAGAATCCAAGCAAGGCTGCCATGGAGGAGCACGTCTACTCAGGTGAGAGGACTCTGGAGCTGACCCTGGCAAAACTGAGCACCTGGCCTCCTACCTTTCAGCCAGGAGAGGAGAGGGGCTCCTGGGTCTCTCTGGGAAGAAGGCCCAGCAAGGGGTGCAGGGGAGGTGAGCCCTGACTGGCCTTCTGGGCACAGAGCCAAGCAGGAGAGGGAAGCCGCAGGCCCCTCCCCGCCCTGACTCAACGCCCTCCAACAAAAAGAGTACGGCTCCAGCTCGGGTGCTGGGAGCCTGATCGATCTGGAGGCCAAGTAGAACGGGGATTCAGAGCAAGTGGAATTCAGCATGATGAATCCTCACAGCCAGGGTGAGGGGAGGGGGCCTGGACCCACAGTGGGCCATCAAGGTAGAGTCTTGGGGGCCCCAGGGATTGTGGTGAGGCTCCGGGGGGTCTGACATCCAGAGAAAGGGCTGGGGAAGAGCTTGGATACGGAAGAAGACCTGAGACCCAGGGTCCTGTGTGCAGGGACGGGGCGCAGGGTCGGGGACAGCCACGGGGTGAGAGCTGAAGGTCCGAGGGGCGGGAGGACCCAGCTTTCTGGGCCGGAGGCTGGAGATCTAGCATTGGTGTGTGAGGGGGCAAGGGAACAGGGTCACAGTGAGAGCTGGGTGGCAGTCGGCCATCTGATGAGGGGCCCGTGGAGGAAGGGCCTCAGCTCCTGGCCCTGGCTGCCTTTCTTGGCCTGGCCCCAAGTCGGGCTTGCTGCCCTCGGGGGTGTGGGAAGAAGGGCTGGACGGGTGGAGGGGTGGATTCAGAGATGCAGAGATGGACGAAGTCGGGGCGGGGGCACCAGTGGGACATGGAAGGGAAGGTGTGCAGAGGAGGCTGGGGGTCCACTGAGATCTGCGGCTCTAGTGTGGGCTCTGGACAGGCCTTCAGGACTCAGGGGTTGTGGGTGACGGGGAGCCAAGCCCAGGCTCATCCTGCCCTCCTTGGCTCCCCCCCCAACTCCCCACAGAGTTCCCAAACCTTCCCAAAAGGCAGCGGCGGTGCTGTGGGCATGGGACGTGGATGGCACTGTTGGGGCTGGTGACGGTCATGCTGTGGGCCGGGCTGCTGCTGCTGCTTCTCTTTTGGCGTGAGGACACCCCCAGCCCCATGCAGCCCCTCTCTTGTCTTCCCTCCCAGAACCCCACTTCCAGACGCTGGGACCTCACGACCCTCCGAGTCCAGTGTCCCCATCAGGGTGCCTCCTGCCTTGTCCCCAGCCCTCTGAGCCTCTTCTGCCCGCCCCTTCTGCCCCCCTCCCGGCCAGCGTCTCTGTCTCCCACCCTTTCTGCCCCTCCCGAGTGGTGTATACCCAAGGCCTCCCTCCCCAGCTGGCAGGTGGGGCGCGCGTGGGCGGGGGCACCTGAAAACCCGTCTTCTCCCCTCTTCTTGTCTCCCCCCCCCAGACTGGGACGCTGTACAGAAGCTGAAACAGCTAGAACAAACCACTGCCCAGAACGGTACAGGGGGAGGGGGAGGGGGAGGGCAGGGAGGGGGGTCCTGTCCTGCTTCTGCCAGCTGGCCCCTGTGGGACGTGAGAGAAAGACTGAGCTGCAGTACCCCCCACTGGGAAGCGGGGGTCAGCCTGAATCTCCCCTCCCCTTGGGGTGAAGACCCGGAGCCTCTGGGAGAGGCGGGGCTCCACGAAGGGCCCGATGGGCTGTTACGTAATGGCTCCGGGCCTCAGTTCCCTCACCTGTAAAGTGGGCATCCTCTCGGGGCTAAGACTTGTGAAGCCTTTACACCTGCCTCCAGTGAGCTTTCCCGAAATGCCGGCGGCTTTTACAACGCATTCTGGGTGGGGGGAAGGGTGCACGTGTTCCTTCCGTTCTGCCTGTGTCTTCCTGGGTGCCTTTGCCCCCAAGGTGAAAATGTGAGGGGGCCCTGCACCCAGGGGCCAGGGAAGGGAGGCACTGGGGACGTGCCTTCCTGGTTCTTGAGGACACAACTTTCCTGCGGCCCCAGTCTCTCAGGTTTCCAAGGACGTGGAGAGACAAAGAGGGGACCAGATGGCCCAGAAATCCCAGGGTGAGTGGTGTCGGCTCAGGAGTAGGAGGAGTCGGGGGGCTGGGGGGGCTGGACTAACGTGGACACGGTGCTCTAGGCCACCTGTGAATGGCAAAATGAGCAGGTGACCCTGAACACCGAGGCTAAGAGGACAAAGGGACCCACGGGAGAGCTGGGGGGAGGGGCGGCCCTCAAGACCTGCTTCCCACTGAGCCCCCTCTCTGCACCCAGCCGCCCAGGTGTCACAGAACATGGAGAAAATCCAAGCTGAGCAAAAAAGAATGAAAGCTCAGGGTGAGAGATTGGTGGGGTCGGGGGTCCTAGAGTTGGGGGGGGACCCTGAGACTGGGGGCCGGGCTCGGGGACCCCCAGCCCTGACCCCACCCCATCCCCGTCAGACTCTGAGCTCTCCCGGAACCTGGATGGCCTTCGTTCGGACCTGAGCAACCTCAAGTCCCAGAGTGAGCCTTGGGAGGGGACGGGGTGGAGGGTGGAGGATGGCGGTGGGGGGGGGGGTGCGCGCTACAAGTTCGTCTCTGACCACTGTCCCCCACCCAATCATCGAGGCTTGAACGAGAGACGCACAGCCTTGCATTCGTTGGAAAGGCTTCAGGAGGAGGTGGAGAAGCTGTGGATAGAGCTGCAAGTGTCCAACGGTGAGTGTGCTTATGAGTCTGTGCCTGAGGTGTGCTGGTGTGTGCGTGTGACGCAACAGGTGTGTGGGAACATGTGGCCAAGGGGCGCACATGACACGCGTCAGGGTCCATGGGGGACACACGGCAGTATCTTTCTGAGTCCAGCCGCCTCTCTTCGCGGACCTGGAGCGGAGGGGGTGGGGGCCCCCACATTCTGTTCCTCCTCCAGGTAAAAGCTTTCCTGTGTTTTACCGTCTCTGGGTTCACTTTGCCTCTCCCTCCTCTGCCCATTGTGGCTCAAACGAGGGTCATCATCACCCCTCCTGAAAGACTGAGCCAGCCAGGGGGCACAGAGGGGTCCCCTCTGCAGCGACGGGGGCAATGCTGGTGGTGACGAGGGCTGGGCTGAGGGGTGGCCCCGGCAAGCTGCAGGGGTGTGCCTTTACCCTGGGACAGGACCCGGGCGCTCCTGCCCTGAAGCCCTCCCCGCCTGCACCCCCACCCCTGATTTTTTACTTTCCACCTCTGGGAAGCCCCGGCTGCCCTAGCTGGCCAAGAGAAGAGGAAGGCTCTGTGCTTGGTGTGGAGCACAGCCCCCTGGGGCCCGTTGTGGCTGTGGGGATCCCAGCCAGAAACCCGGCTGTGGTGCTCTGGGGAGGGCTCTGGACCACATTCACGTGGGTGGATGGCCTCCCACTTCCTACCCGGTCGCCAGGGTGACCTGGGGTCTGAGCTCAGCTCCAGGGCTGTCTCTGGATGACAGCGCCACACGCGGACAGATTTTCCTCGCCTGCCCAGAGATACCCGCTTCCGGTTTTAATGTTCCCCACCCCACCCCTCCCCCGCACCAGTGGCTACATACTGGTCACTGGCCCGTGTGTGAGCAATACATCCAGCCGTGCTCCCCATAGAGGTTGGGGGCCCCAGGTCCCTTCAAGAAAAAGTCCACCAAAGTTCTGGAGCCCTCTCTGCACGCCATTCCAAGAAAAGCTATTTTAAATCAAGAGTAAATCCACCCAGTAAGAGTGGGTTTAACCTCCCATCTGGGAGTGCTGGGTGGTGGTGGTATCAGCGCCTAAGAGTTTCCTCGGGATGCGGGCAGGAGGAGAGAGGCCAGGGCTGCCAAGGTCAAGCCCATGCGGACCCAGCCCTCCAGCACCCTCCTTCATAAGCTGACCAATCCCTCCAACTAGACGAAAATCATCTCAATTTCCCCAAACCTGGTCACCACTGCTAGTTTGGGGGCGGGGGGGGCTGGCAGCAATGGCGAGCAGGGCCCTTCCTGGAGCCGGTAGTGGAGACAGTGCCCAGGACACACAATGCCGGCAACCGCAGCCTCGCCTGGTGGGCCCTGGTGATCAAGCCATGGCTGGCGAGGGGTGTGGACCAAGAAGATGGTGTCAGCAGTGCTGGTGGCAGTGGATGAGGTTGCCGGCAATCCTGGGTCCCTGCGGTGATGACGGTGGGAATGAAGGTGCCGCGGACAGCGGTGGGGTTCGTGGCCATGGTGTTGGCGGTTGATGTGCTTCTGATTGTGAAAGCGTTTGTGGTGATGTCGTTGGTGGCTGAGGTGCCACGGGCCACCGAGCTGGCGACGTGGTGATGCTGTGGGCCGGGGGTTTCTTTGCGGGGCTGGTGCTGGCAGAGGCTGAAGAGCTACAGGCCGAGAGGTATTTACAATGACAGTGTCGATGACGCGCATCCGCGTTGGGGGGCTGGGGGTGGTATTTGGTGCAGGCAGCTGAGGTGCTCCCTCACTGCGGCTGGTCTGGCCGGGAAGAAGGCACCCGCAAGTTCCTGGTCTGCTTTCAGCCCGGATCCCAAGAGTGACTCCAGGACAGACGCTGCCACCCACTCTGCCTATTGTACCCACGGGGCCCGCCATGGGGCCAGCCACGGCACCGGCTACGGTGCTGGCCATGGCATCCGCCACTGTGCCAGCCACGGCACCAGCCACAGCATCTGCCACAGCGCCGGCTACGGTGCCGGCCACGGCATCCGCCAAGGTGCCAGCCACGGCACCGGCCACAGCGTCCGCCACGGCGTCGGCCACGGTGCCCGCCACGGCATCCACCACGGTGCCCGTCACGGCGCCCAGCACGGCGCCCACCACCACCGCACCCCTGAGCCTCTCCTCCACCCCAGGCTCCACGTGTAACACGTGTCCCGAGAAGTGGGTCAACTTCCAGAGGAAGTGTTACTACTTCGGCGAGGGCGCCAAGAAGTGGATCCAGGCCCGGTTCGCCTGCAGCAAACTGCAGGGGCGGCTGGTCAGCATCCACAGCCAAGAGGAGCAGGTGGGCGGGGCTCTGCAGAGGGCGTGGCCAGCATGGCGGGCAGGGGGCAGGGGCGTGTGTATCCCCACGACCTCTTGAATGGTGGGGTGAGGGGGGCCCAAGGCACAGCCCCCCAGCCCCTCCAGTCCTGTCCTGCTCCCCAGGACTTCCTGGCCAAACACGCCAACCGGAAGGGCACCTGGATTGGCCTCCGGGACCTGGACATAGAGGGGGAGTTTATCTGGATGGACAAGAACCCCCTGAACTACAGGTGAGGCTCAGACTCAGAGAGGGGGTGCCTCTCTGCAATGGGCGGGTGTGGGGGGGATGTGGGAAGCAGGTATTCCTGGGCTGCAGGGAGTTGCGGGTGGGAATCCAAGAATCCATTCGGGTGGGAATCCAAGGGGGGCAGGATGGGGGGCGGGATGCGTCCAGGCAGGAGGCAGTAGGGCTCCCACCCCCTACTCCATTCTCTGACCTCAAGTCTCTGCTCCAGCAACTGGCGGCCGGGGGAACCCAACAACCAGGGCCAGGGCGAGGACTGCGTGATGATGCAGGGCTCTGGGCAGTGGAATGATGCCTTCTGTGGCAGCCGGCTGGACGGGTGGGTGTGTGACCGGCTGGCCACATGCTGACCGCCCACCCGCCGCCTTGGCCCCCCGAGGTTCACTGGGACGTCCTTGGAGACTCAGATGCTGATGACCCCCTGCCCACCTGCCAGGTGCACCCCCCATGCCCTCCCCCAGCTCAGACACAGGAATAGCCACGCCCACAGCAGGGGCCCCCAAGGACCCTCAAGCACAGTCTGGATGCCTCTTCCATGGCCAAAGTTCCAGCAACATTTTCTCCTGCCCGAGCGGAAGAAGGGCTGTTGACCCCTCCCCAGCTCCTGCCGGTGCCTGGAGGGCCTGTCCCTTGCTCCTCAGCCCAGCAGGCTGTCCCCACGTCCCTGCCTTCAAGAGCTCAGAGCACCCACCTCTAGAACTTTCTGGGGAGCCTCAGACCCCTGTGAGCCTCCTCTGTCAAGCCCGCCCACAGTCTGCCGGAGCCAGCACCATACCCCCACCCCACCCCTGGCCTCCCCAGATGCAGTCCCCTTGCCCTAGCACCCCAGGGAGAGGACCCCTGGCTCGGGCAGCCAGTCTCCCAGCCCCCAGCCCATGTCAATAAAATGGGGGCAAAGATGGCCCCACTCAGGAGCCTCTCTGGATCCGGTCTCTGGATATGGGAGCCGGGAGTTCCAGAACATGGTGCCTGAGGCCATCTGAGTATCCAAGGCAGCAGTTTCCCTCTCTACTTTATTACAAGGAGCATTTCCTAGACAGCGCTGGACATGAAGACTCTGGGGTCCCGTGGGGCAGAGAACACCCTAGAACCCTAAAACTACTGCAGGGCAGGGCGGTGGCCTGGCAGCCTCATCCTCCAGCCGAGGCTGCTCAGAATGGGCCTGGTATACAGAAGGCACTCAGTAAATGCTAGCAGGCCCATGGGTGGCCCGGTCACCCAGGTCCTAAGGTGCTGGTATGACCCTGACACAGGTTTTGAAAGGCGCAGGTGGCACCAGCCCCTGTCAGTCCCGGAGGCCGAGGTGGGAGGTGGGCCAGGATCACAGGACATCTCTCGTTAAACCCCTTGCCTACCCACCCTACCCCCAATTCCTGGCCTAGGAAAGGAAGAACCAGGGGCGCCTGGGCGGTTCAGTTGGTTAAGAGTCTGACTTCGGCTCAGGGCATGATCTCACAGTTCGTGGGTTCGAGCCCCGGATCGGGCTCTGTGCTGACAGCTTGGAGCCTGGAGCCTGCTTCAGATTCTGTCTCTCTCTCTGGCTCTCTGCCCCTCCCCTGCATGTGATCTCTCTCTTTCTAAAAATAAATAAATGTTAAAAAAAGAAAGGGAAGAACCGAATCGTCTCATGTGATTCTTGGGCCCCTGGAGGGGAACCCGTGAGGGGAGGACCACCCTGGACCACCTTGGACTTGGGAGTCAAGGGCCCGGGTCAAGGGGGCCGGGGAGGGCCCCTACGGTGGCACCCAGGAGACCTGGGACCGGGAATGGGCAGAGGTAGAGCTAGCTCTAGGGCGCCTGTTATCTAGCCATTGCTTTCCCGATTTCTGCCCCCCCAGACCCCTCCTTGGACCTCCAGGCCAGTGCACCGCCACCTACCTGAGCTCTGCAAAGGGGACTCCCAGCCCCTCTGCCGGTCACTCAGGCCAATGTTGGGATGACACTCACCACAGGTTCCCTTCACTGCCCCCTCCAAATCCTCAGGGAAAGCCACGTGCAGAATCTGCCCACTTCTCACCCCTCCGGCGACCGCCTTGGTATAGCCCCTACCCTAGCTTGCCTTGATCTCTTCTTCACTGTCCCAAACCTTCCAGAAGTTCCTTCTGGCTCAGAGAGGGGGGAAAAAAAACCCCACAGTCTTACAGGGTGCTTTGCAATTGCAGAATGCCTGCAACTTGCCTGGTCTCCCCAGCTTTACCTCCTCTCTCTCCTCCCCCAATCCAGCACCTATACCAGCCTCCTCACTGACCCTTACATATTTAGGCTTGCTCTTGCCTCAGGGCCTTTGCACATGCCCCACCCCCTGCTAGCTCCTCAGTGATGGCTATCCCGGCTCCGATCCTTCCTGTTTAAAATGACACCCCTGACTCCGGATCCCTTTAACCCTTGATCTACTTTCTCACCACAGAACCCTTCCCCTTCCAGCCAAACTTGTCATTCACTGATCTGTGTGTGTCATTCACTGATCTCAGCCTGGGGCTAGCATGTGAGCTTCAGGAAGGGAGGAGCTTTTGGTTTGTTCTCCGCTGGGACCCCAGCAGCTGACACCCAGTAGGTGTTCAATAAATAGCTGTTGAGTAGTGAATGTGTGTCCGTGGGCAAATGACCTCCTTCGTGGTCTGTTCAACGAGGGAAGCATCATGTCTGTCCGGTGCACCAAGGGCTGGTGTGCAGTTCCTCTTCCTCCGACCCCGCCCTCCCAACCTTTCCAGGGGCTTCACTACTGCAGTAGAGACTTGATTTGCAGCCCAAGGCTGCCGGACCACTGCTGCCTGTTCTCAGGGGTGCGCCCCTCCCTTGTCCACAAGTCAGTCCCTCCTCACCTTCGGCGGGGAGAGACCCTGGGCCCTCTCCCAGCTTTCAAGCTCCCAGCATCATGCCCTTCGGGACCAGCCCATCCCCCCCCCCCCACTCTGGTATCTTTCACCTCCAGGCCTCTGGATGGGGCTGCCTGGGCCATTCCTGCGTCCCGCCCCTTGCTTCCGCAAGCTGCCCCTCACCCAGAAGGCCCTGGAAGCCACCCTCGCCAGGGTCCCCGGGGGACCTCAGGCTGCTAACCCCAAAGTCTCCACTTGCCTCTGAAATCGGGCTTCCCAGCCACCGCAAGCCCTGCCTCACTTCTCCCGGCCGGCGGCTTCTGTCTCCGTGCTCTCGGACCTGCCTCCTGGACTCCAGACCTCAAATCCTCCTTGGCCTCCTAGGCACTGACCCCTCACCACAGATTCAGACGGCCACCCTGACCACCCCTCCCCCCGCCCCAGGCAACAGCTACTTCCTGACCATGACCGTCCCCTGTGCTGCACACAGCAGGTGCTTGGTAGTTCCATTTACGCTGTTGGCAGTCACTGCCCTCTTCGAGGTGGGCTGAAGCCCACCCCCCTCATCACCCTTGCTGGAATAACCGAAACTGCCCCCTGACCAAACCCGGCGCCTTGGGGCTCCCCACCTCATGCCGACCTCCACAATGCACCCGAAAAAAGCAATGGAAAATCTGTGTCCATCCTGCCCTTAAACCCTCCATAAACAGTGAGGGGACCCAGCCCAGAGCACCGCCAAGTTCTCGTTCATGTCATGCTTGTTGAAGTCCAGGAGGAGGAGGGGGAGGAGACATCTGAACAAGTCTCCCCAAGAAAAGTCTGGCAGGATTTCCTTGGGGAGGGGGAGTTCTTAGGAACCCGGCGAGGCCGGTGGGCAAAAGGGAAATGTAGGGTTGCCTTAAGTGTCGGATTTTCTTTTTAAACAAGGAACACACGGGACACCTGGCTGGCTGAGTAGGTAAGGCATGTGACTCTTGATCCTGATCGGGGTTGTGAGTTCAAGCCCCAGGCTAGGTGGAGATGTTACTTAAAACGTTTAAATGAAAAACAAAAACAAAAAAACAAGGATGTGTTCACGTATGATCAATATCAACTTCCTAATATCACCGGCACCCAGGGGGTTCTGGCACCCAGGGGGTTCTGAAGCGAGCCCAACCATTTCCCCAGGTCCCCGGGGCATCGTTCTTAAAATGCGGCCCCTGGAGCTAACCCACCAGTTCCTGGGAACTTGTAGAAATGCAAATCCTCAGCCCACTCAGATCTGCAGAATCGGAAGCTGTGGGGGTGGGGCCCGGGCACCCCAGTTGGTACAGATTCTGTGCTCTAGCGCACTGCTTCTCAAAATAGGGCACCCAGGGATCCCCCGGGGGACTTGCCAAAATGCACGCGCTCGCTTAGTAGGCCTGCGCGTCTGCGTTCCCACCACCTCCCAGGAGGTACTGGAGCTGCCAGTCGCAGACCACACTTTGAGAAGCGAGGGTCTAAAGCGGGGGTCAGCCAACAGTCCCCCTCTGTTTTCTAGACACACAGCCACAGCCAATCCTTGACCTATGGCTGTCTACACCGCAGAGCAGGGTAGCTGGCCAGAGACTGGTAGGCATAAACTACTATCTTGCCCTTTACGGAAGTGTGCCGGCCTCTGGTCTAACAGTCTTCGCCCTGTCCCTCCACCCCCGACTCTCCAGCCGGCCTCGAACTGCGATCCCAGAGAGGATCAGCACCCTCCCGCCTCCAGCCACACCAGTACCAACTTCTGCAGGCTTCTCTCCACACCACCCCAGGCCTTCCCCGACCCCCATGTGGAAGCCCCCCTCCACCACAGCCCTGCTGGACCCCAAACAGGCTTGGGTCTGGCCTCCGGGGCAGGCCTGAGGCAGGGACCTGGGTCCAGGTGCTGAGTGGCTCTCTGAGGCCCCCACACATGACACAGGACACATTTGGGAAGGGGGCTCTCTGCACTCTTTATCTCCCGCGGGGTCAGCGGCCCTCCAGCGCCCGGTCCCGGGCTATGACCGCCTCCTCAAACTTGATCATGAGAGTGGTGCCCTTGTGCCAGTGAGCAGTGACCTTGGCCGGAAAACCGCTGTGCGTGAGCACTGCCTCCACGATGCCCGCCGTGAAGCTGGCGCAGTTGAGCGTGCTGTTCTCCTTGGGCACCGAGATGTAGGTGTTGATGAGCGGCTCCCGCTCTATGATGTAGAAGGTTCGCGCGTCATCGTTGGCCTGCTCCAGCTTGTCGGCCTCCTTGCCGAAGAGCGCCTTCCACACGGCGCCCTTGACGAAGAGCAGAGCCCCCAGCACCTTGGTCTCGCGCCGGGCACCCTTTTCGCGAGCCACCAGGGCATCCAGGACGCGGGCGCCCACCTGGCGGCCCAGCGCGGCCAGGCGCGCCTGCAGCTCGGCCACCGAGAACACGCGGCTCTGGCAGTGCTGCACCAGCTCAGAGAAGAGCAGCGCGAAGGCGCTCAGGCTCACCTCGGTGCGCGGCCGCACCAGGGCGCGCTCCAGCAGCGCCGACTTCCCGCGCGTGAAGCGCGCCTCCATGCTGCCGCCGCCCTGCAGGGACACAAGGAAACGTGGGTGGGGTGGGGGTGGCGGACAACGCGCTACCCTTTTTGTGTGCTCCACTGCTGATCTCCCACGTAGGAAAAGAAGAGGGGAAGGAAAGGGGGGCATCCACCTGCACATAAAGCACCCCCCCCCTGCCGTGAAGCCTGGCCAGGGAAGGAGAGCGGGGAAGGAGGCAGGTTTACACCCTTGGGGGAAGGGGGGGGTGGGAGGGCACAAGAGGGGAATCAGAAGGGGCCGCTGGAAACCTCCTACGTGAAAAGGACCTCTGTGCCCCCTCTGCCACGTGTGGGAGCAACTAGAGAACTAGGGCATGGGGGAGGGGTCGTCAGAATAGGGCAGGAAGGGGACGGGGGGGGGGGCGTGAGAAAACTTGGGTACCGTCCGCGCAAGCGCCCCAGCATAAACAGCGCTGACTTCTGCAGATCCTCTAGAGAGGATCTTTCCCTGCAGAAAGCCAGGGAAACGGGAGAGGCCAGTAGGGTGCGTCAAGACCGATGGCCCCGGGGGGTTTGCGGCTTGGGGGACGAACAGAGGGTATGCAAGGGGCCAGCTAGGAGGAAACGGCTCTGGCAGGGCCCATGTGTCCTGCACGAAGCACGCCTCCTTGAGACGTGGATGGGCCTGCGTTTCTAAGAAAGACCGGAGGCGGGGGAGGGGGGGCGCACAGAAGGCGTTGGGAACCCCTCCATCTCCGTGCCCTCCAGAAAGGCAGCTGGGCAGTGGGAAACAAGGTAGAGGCCGACTGTGAGACCCGAAGTTTGGGGGAGCCAGGAGGGGGCGCTGTGATCCTCCCATCCTAGCTCACCTAGCCAAAGGGCAGTGGGGGAAGAGCCCCGGAAAAGGCTGCTGGAGAAAACCGAGGGGGCGCTAAGGTCTCCGCGGAGCAGATCTAGGGTGGGAGTATGGGGAGCAGGAGCGGATGGGGAGGATCCCAAGGGCGCTGAGACACCCTCCCTTCCCCTCCACCCTCGCCCACTCAAGCGTGAAGCCTCTGCCAAGAGTGGGGTCGAGAGAAGGAGCGGGGAACCCCCTTCCTACTACCAGGGAAGGAGCCAGAGGCCGGCCGGGTCTGGGGATGGTGGGCCTGCCCCAACAAAGTCTGCGTGGGGGATGGGAGGGCTAGGGGGGAAGGGAGTCCAGGGGGTCCAAGACGCCCCCCCCCCAGGTGCGCAGCTGACTACACGAGGGCCGAGAGCGTGAGACGGGACGAGTGTTGAGACCCCTCCTCCGGGCGTGATGGGGGCTAGTAGGCTAAGCCGCGAAAAGGCGGGGACCCCAAGCCCCCCACGCCGGCGTGAACCGGGCAGAGGGCCGAGGAGGGAGCCCACCCTCCTCAAGGACCCCCTTGCGTGGGCCGAAGCGGACGGACAGGGGATCGCGGGCGCCCAGACCTTAGCCCAAGATCCCCAGGCCCACGGGGGGCGGGGCGGCCAGGGAAGGGGTCCGACGCGGGTAGGGGTCGCGGGCGGGCGGGGTCTCACCAGGGTACTGCGGCCTTCGCTTCGGCCGAGCTGCTTTACGGCGCCGTAAAAGGCCTTAAGTGCGCAGGCGCTGCGGCGAAGGGGCTCGTGGGCGGAGCGCGCGTGCTCACGGAGATGCCAGAGAGCGGCCGCCAGGGGGCGCGCGTGTCCCGGGCTCCCGACTGAGGGGTGTGGCCCTGAGGCCATGGGCCTGGTTGGCTTGCGTTGGCCAGCGCTCAGGCAAACTGCCGGCTGCTCATTTGACGATGGGCCCGTCTCTGTCTCAGGGACACATGTATGCCCTTGGGGATACGTCTATTGGCCTGTGCCTTGGGGACACATTCTCTGGTCTTAGGGACACGTGTATATCCTTGGGCACATGTTAGGGACACACACGTCTGCCCGTGTGCACATGTCCACGTGTCTTAGGGACAAACGTTTGCCTGTGGACACATGTTCTCTTAGGGGACATACGTCCGTGAGCCAGGGCACAGTGCACTTGGGGCCATGCGCTCTCATGAACGCGGGCATATACACTCGCGAGTAGTTACACTGGTGGGGACATGCTTAAGGGTTCAGATATATTTCCGGGCTCACCTACACTTAGGGAGACATTGTTAAATTTTTTTAATGTTTATTTTTGAGAGAGATAGAGCGTGAGTGGGGGAGGGACAGAGAGAGAGGGAGACACAGAATCTGAAGCAGGCTCCAGGCTCTGAGCTGTCAGCACAGAGCCCGACGCGGGGCTCGAACCCACGAACCGGGAGACCACAACCTGAGCTGAAGTCAAACACTTAGCCGACTGAGCCCCCCAGGCTCCCCACATAGGGAAACATTGTATATTTCGAGCCACAAGCCCTATTGGGGGCACAGAGACTATTACTGCCTGGGTTCAAGTTCATGAACACAAAAGGACCCATTCAGGACATTCATGCTTATACACTCTCATTTCCCCAAGGTTATCATGGCCACGTGCTCACTATGTGACTTTCTTCATCCCTCAACGTTTGCAGACCCTCCCCCACCAGGTCCCCGACGCCCCCCAAGATGCTCCCAGTAACAGATCTGAAAGCCACATTCTTTTCCATTGGCCTTTATCTTCACAAATGACAAAACGTTGAGTGTGGAAACCAGTAGACACACATGTGTACCTGCTCCGAACACCCTTGGTGACACGATCATCACACACTGACACACACCTGTTCACACACCAACACAGGTAGTGACAGGGCACACGCTGCAGCCCCCACAATCACAGTGAGGTAAGGGGTGCCACACACACACACACAGACACACAGCTCCATGACACATTCAGACACGACGCACCACAGGACACTCACACATGCTCACAGGGCAGCACGTGTCACCAACAGCCGAGCTCCCACTGACACACGTCTGCGGTACTTGCTGACACAGCCGCCCACTGTGCCATGCGTTGTCGCTCGTGTCACACCGTGATACACACATGCGGCCATCTTTACTGGGAGGAGCAGCCCCGTCCTCCAAGCTGCAGCCAGGGTGCCAATGTCTTCTCCTTTATTGAGGTGTGGGCTCTGGGCAGGATGGAGACCCAAGGTCAGGGAGATCCCATCCCCCGGGGAGAGAACCAGGGCCGGATCGGTGACTCCCTCCTCATCCCCCTCCCCGGCCGAACTTACTTGGGAGTGACAACTTCTCCAGTACCTTGGAGATTTCCTGTAATTTACTCTTAATCTGGCTTATGTCTGGGGACAGGGAGACAGGAGGAAATTGGTATGGGGCCTCAGACAAGGCCCTCACCCTTATTGGAAGCCTCTTCCTTGCGCGCCCCCACCCCCAGCCTGGGCTGCTGCAGAGCTCGTGTATTTGGCGGTCCCAGACGCATTGAAATATCCCCACCCAGAGGGTGACGTCCATCACCCCCCCCAAACCTTGCGTGCCGGGAAGGCGAGACCCCTGCTGACCCCTCCCCAACTCCTCAGCACCCAGACTGAGACAAATTCCACCCAGTAAAGGTCTGCAAGGGCACCTGGTAAGGAGGTCATCACTATCTCATTCCCAGTGTTGACATTTCTCTTGACCGTCTCAATCTCCTGCTTGACCTCCTTGATGAGCCGCTGGACGCTGCCCCACGCCCGTTTCTGTTGCTCCTGACACTCCTGCTCCGAGATGGAGACTGAGGCAAGAAGCAGACGTGTCTGCAGCAGCGCTGCCCTCCTTCCCCTCCCCAGCCCCCCTGGGCCTCCCCAAGGCCCCACCCTTACCATTCTGGAGCTCCCCTTTCAAGACCAGCAGCTCGCGGGACACCTCGGAATCTGTTGAGAAGGAGGGGCGGGGGAGGGTGGAAACACTGGGCCTGCTCCACCCCCTGAGGACCCCCTTTACCCCAGCCCCCTCCCATCCTCCAAATCACAACAAAAAAAAAAAAAAAAAAAAGAAAAGAAAGGGAAACCAAAAATCCTACTCACTCTTCACCAGGACCAAGGCGATGAGAATGATGCAGGACAGGGCAAAGAGAACGTACAGGCTCAGAATGGCTCTGTGCAGCCAACGGGGGACCTGGGCAGAGTCCGGGGACGGCCGAGACCAGGCAGGGACTGGGGCAGAGGCAAGACAGGTGACCTTCCAGGGCCCAGCACCGCCACTCAGACCATCGGTACCGACTCTCACACCGTCAGAGCTCTGTCACCTGCTGCCACTCTTGCCAATACTGTAGCCACTGCGACCACCAGCGTGCACTCTGGCCACAGCCACCGGGAACTGTCCCTAATGCTGTCATCATCAGGTCCCCTCCTTACCATCCCCTTTACCAGCACTCACAACGTCAGCAGTAGCTGTCACTGACCCCCATCCAGCTCAGTGCCTGTCGCTACCAGCACAAGTGACTGTCCCCACCAACACGGCTCATCAGCTCCTGTCTAGGCGGTTCCTTCCTGACCCACTGCGTGGTCACCTCCTCGCCATCAACAGCACCCAAACCGGCACCAACACTTCAATTCCACCAACACCAGCACCACTCGCATCATCATCGCCGCCTGCAAAGCTACCCCCACCACTGTAACACGCCAGCCTTGAGGCCGCCACGCCCCCCACCAGTGCCCCAGACCCCCACCCGGCGCCCTATGTTCCAGTGACATCCTACCTTGGGCCCCTCCCGAGGCTGTGCGGTGTGGGCTGGCAGGCGGCTGCTTGGCCCGATTCTTGGGTGGTGAATGGCTGCCTCTTGGTTGGTCCTGGTTTCTGAAGGCCAAGGTGATATTCTCATACTCAGGGTTTGCACCTGTGGGCGGGTGGGTGAGAATGGAAACCTGCCAGGAGCTCTGGGGCAGGGGTGAGGGTTGGAGGGGAGCTCAGAGATCTTGGCTCAACCAACCCCCTGCAGACAACAAATCTCTGGGGACAAAACAGAAGGAATGGGGAAATAAGATCTGCCTCTTGGTTAGGTGGAGAGGGCATGTGTGAGCGTTTGGGGGATACGCGTGCACACATAACTCTTGGAGTTGGGGAAGGGAGCCCTGCGACCCACCTTTCAGCCCCTTGCGTCTCCCATCCCAATCTCTCCCTCCTGACCTCTCCCCTCCCCACCCTGAGGGACCTAACCTTCCTTATCGGCTGGGGCCTTCTGTTTCTTCTCTTTGAAGGCTGCCGCCTGCATCTTGACCTCCTGTTCATGTAGATTTCCTCAGACCCCATGGTTCCCAGTCTGCCAATTTGCTCACATACACCCCACCCACCGGAAGGTGTCGAGGCCGATGAGGAAATCTCCGGGTTGGGGATGGGGGGAGGAGACAGTCAGCCTCCTCTTTTCAATGATCCGGGATCCTCTGACCTGGGGGCATCCTCCCCTCCCGTCCCAGATCAAGAGGGTCTGAGGAGTCCAGAGGTCTCATGGAGGGCCCAGCAGAGAAGCCCACAGACCCAGAGACACAATAGAATGGTCAGGAATCCATGGAGGTCATCATATTGCAACATACAAATGTATCAAATCCACACCTGTAACACCTCAAACTTACACAATGTTATATGTCAATTACACTCACTATAAATAAAGTTTAAAACTTTTAAAGGATGATCCGGAACTTTACAGGAAGCTGTGTGTGTGTGTGTGTGTGTGTGTGTGTGTGTGTGTACCTGAATGAACTTTGTCCCCTGCCCTTCTCGGGAGAAAACCTGGGGCACCTGGGATTCCCACCTTTTAGGTTTGGGGCAGCCGGGCTTGGAAACAAGATTTCTGGGGCTCCCACATCTTCCTCCCCTCTGCCCCAGGCCCAGCCTTCAGCTCCACACCAAGAATTCTACTTCTTCAAGGCTCCCTGGAGGAAAGGAACAGATGTGAGGCAAGAAGACCCATTACTGGAGCCCCACCCAAATCTGGGACTGAGGCCAGACCCACGCCTTGACCTAACTCCGGACGTGGTGTCCCCTCTTCTTGAGTCTCCAGACAGAGAATAACTGGAAACACTCTCATCCACACATCTGCTCACCTACCCGCACTCACACACACCCCCAGATACTGTGACACATCTCCTCACGTATTGGCCAGGCTTGCTCATTGCCATGCCCGACATGTGCTCACCCTAGAGAAATATCCATATTCATGCATTCATGTGGTGGCTCTCTGTCTAGATGTCTTAAAGCCCTCTTTGTCTGTGACCTGGAAGACTGGAGATAAGAATGAGACGAAGTGTACAGGGAATTTTCTCTTTAAGTTTAGAGGAGCGCCTTCTGGTAGAAATGTAATGTAAACCACATCTTCAATTTAAAAGTTTCTAGCAGCCGCGTTAAAAAGGTAAAAAGAGACAGACTAAATTAATTTTAATAATGTGTTTTATTTAACATAGATACCTAAAATAGTATCACTTCAGCATGTAGGCGATGCTTTAAAATTACTGAGATGTTTTTGGTTTGGGATTTTGAGACCTTTCAGTTTTTGGCTTTGAGACCTTTTCTTTTTTGTACTAAATCCTTGAAAACAAACGTGTGATGCTTTTACACTCAAGGCTCATTTCCAGTGTTTGATGGCTGTGCGATTGGACAGCGCTGGTCTAGACTATTGATGAAGTTTTGGGGCGATGGGGATTCATGGAGTCCAGAGCTGACCGCCAAGAAAATTATTTTTTTAATTTTTAATGTTTTTTCATTTATTTCTGTGAGAGAGAGAGACAGCGTGAGCAGGGGAGGGTCAGAGAGAGAGGGAGACACAGAATCCAAAACAGGCTCCAGCCTCTGAGCTAGCTGTCAGCACAGAGCCCGACGTGGGGCTCGAACCTACGACTGTGAGATCATGACCTGAGCCAAAGTCGGATGCTCAACAGACTGAGCCACCCAGGCGCCCCAAGAAAGAATTCTTAAAGATGTCTTTGGTGCAAAAAGGTGATTTTATGAAAGCAGCGGGATAGAACCCCTGGGCAGAAAGAGCTGCACTGGGGTCCTAACGGGTAACTCATTTATATACCCTCGTTTGAGAGGGGATCAGGGATAGAGTAAGTCTCTAAGGAATTTTGGAAGCAAGTTTTCAAACCTTAAGGCGCGAGCTGTTGCTAGGAAAACACCATTTATTACCATTTAATAAAACCTCAGTCATGAGACCCTCAGATGTATATCAGGGGGCCATAAGCTTGGAGTATGATTGCCAACGTAAATCTTGGGGCAGTTGAGATAAAGGAACTTGACTTACAGGATCTTCGAGCTTGGGATACTGTTAAACTAAGGTCCTTTTTTGCTTCTAGCAAAATGTCATCCTTGAAGACAGCTGAGCTCCTAGAGGGAGGTCACTCTGCCTGTCGCAAGGAGTTCTCAGTGGACTGTAGGCAGTAAGGGAATTTAATTTTTCATTTGCCTTAATTTCCCACATCACCACAGCGAGTACTTAAACCCCTTTCCTTTGTTCTTGGGTAGCTGAGAATGTTTGAGGAATATCACATAGATCCCACATGGGCCGGCTGGGACGGCGGTGGGGGTGTGTGAGGGGGTTACTAGCTTGTGCTCAGCCTGCCCCATACTCTCTCATCAACCATTATAGTTTTCTTCCTTTGCAAAAAGAAATAAAAGATAATTTAAAAGACTTTTATGTGTGAGAACTATCTTTTAGCTTTTAAAATTTTTTTTTTTTTTTTAATTTATTTCTAGGAGAGAGAGAGAGACAGCATGAGCAGGGGAGGGTCAGAGAGAGAGGGAGTCACAGACTGAAACAGGCTCCAGGCTCTGAGCTGGCAGTCAGCACAGAGCCCGACGCGAGGCTCGAACCCACGAACCATGAGATCATGACCTGAGCGAAAGTCGGACACTTAACCGACTAAGCCACCCAGGCGCCCCTCTTTTAGCTTTTAAACGTGTGATTAAATTTGAGATAACTTCGGAATGGTGCCCCAAGATTTGGTGAGGATAATGCTCTATTGTTTTTTTTTTTAATGTTTTATTTATTTCTGAGAGAGAGAGAGAGACAGTGTGAGCAGAGGAGGGTCAAAGAGAGAGGGAGACGACACAGGATCTGAAACAGGCTCCAGGCTCTGAGCTGGCTGTCAGCACAGAGCCTGAAGTGGGGCTCGAACCCACAAACCGTGAGATCATGACCTGAGCCGAAGTCGGCCACTTAACTGGCTGAGCCACCCAGGTGCCCCAATGCCCTGTTTTCTAAACTATTGCCAACCTTGTCTGCTTAGAGAAGCCTGGTTTAAGAGTGATTAGATGGCCGCTCCTCTCCCTGATCTTAATTTTTTTTTATATTTTTATTTATTTCTAGGAGAGAGAGAGAGAGACAGCGTGAGCAGGGGAGGGTCAGAGAGAGAGGGAGATACAGACTCTGAAACAGGCTCCAGGCTCGGAGCTGGCAGTCAGCACAGAGCCCGACGCGGGGCTCGAACCCGCGAACCGCAAGGTCATGGCCTAAGCGAAAGTCGGGCGCTTAACCGACTAAGCCACCCAGGCGCCGCCTCTCCCTGATCTTAAATAGAAGTCATCAATTGAGGGATTCAACGCCCTTTCCTGCCATAACAGCCCAGGAGGAGCCGGGACCAATGGGCATCTGGCTCTGCTCTGATGGACAGGTGCAGGGGGCGGGGCCACAGCATTGCACATTGAGGGACTGAAGGTCAGTTGAAGCTAAGTCCTGACTCCGGCCCCCCGGCAAAATGGCAGCTGTGAAACTGGGGGCCCACAAGCAGTCAGATCTGTGGTGTTCCCTGACCAGCCCCTGTCACAGGGTAATAATCTCAATTTTCTTTTAAGAAAGAATATGTGTCTCAAGTCCAGCCACAAACCAGAGATTGGTTTGGATTGGAGTGGGCACATGATCCAGGCCCAGCCAATCAGAGTCCAAGATTTGGCACAAGGGTGGGCAAATGAGCCAGCTTCAGCCAATGAAACTCTGGCCTGGGACTTTCGCTGCATTTACCAGGGAAAAAAGGCATTTCCTCCTGTTTCCTCTCCACTGGGGCTCTCAGAGACTGGGAAGATGTTAAGCCTGGAGCTGTGGTAGGGAAGGACCAGCTTGAGAGAGAAGTCAGCACTGAGGAAAGCAGACTGAGGAGTCGGGTCCTGAAGCCATCATTTGATACCTGGATCCAGCCATACCTGAATCCATTGTTCTAACCCCGAGCCTCTCAGTTACATAACCCAGAAACTTCCTTTTACTTTTGTTCATGCTAGTTCAAGGTGGCATTTGTGGCACTTGCAACTAGACCAATCTTGGCTGCCTCAGGGGGCTGGGCAGTTGGCAAATGAGGAAATAGCGGCTTAAGAAAGGGGCTTCCCTGTCCAAGTGTGCGCTCTGGGACAAGAGAATGACTGTGTTCGAACTGAAGGCTCTGAAGAATACCTTCTTGGGATCCAGATACAGGGAGACAATTGAGTGGGACTCGGAGGTAAAGAGGCATTCTTGTCAGAATCTGGGGACAAAGGAGTAACCCCCCCACACACATCAGTGAGCGGGCGGGACAGGCAAGGTACTAGACTCAACTTCTCTGCTCCTGAACACACTTCTGACTCAGTGGTCCCACCTCAACCCCATGGCTGCAGTGGGGTTAGGAGGGAGGAGCTAGGAGAGGAATCTCTTGGGGGGGGGGGTCTGGGTGGGCTCCAGGGGCAACAAGTGTGTTTGTGATGTCAGCTTACGGTCACCAGGATCAGACAGGTAGGAGGTGGGTGGCGGTGGAAGGAGGGTCCCAATCGTCTTGAAAACCAGGATCCCACACCATGGCCCCTTTCCCGGTCCCTGGAGCGTGCTGCTGGGGACTGTGACATTTAAGTCCGGGGTCCCTTTCAAGACTGGGCACCACATGTTCTGAAGTCTGAGTCTGAATGTCTCAAGGGGCTGGGTTTTAAGAGAATTTAAAACTATTAAATAATATTATTATTTTTTAAAATTGTTTTATTTATTTCTAGGAGAGAGAGAGAGAGAGAGAGACAGCATGAGCAGGGGAGGGTCAGAGAGAGAGAGGGAGTCACAGACTGAAACAGGCTCCAGGCTCCAAGCTGGCAGTCAGCACAGGGCCGGACGCAGGGCTCGAACCCACGAACCGCGAGATCATGACCTAAGCGAAAGTCGGACGCTTAATCAACTAAGCCACCCAGGCGCCCCTATTATTTTTTAATAATAATAATAATAAATTAGGATTAGGACTCCCAGGGAACTGGACTCTGAGTCACTGGATTTGTGCCCCCAGGAAGCTGTACAGGGGTTGCACATGACTCATCTTCTAGGTCAGAATTCAGACTGAGATCAAGGTCATCCAGGCTGGGATGGGGACTTGTTGGAAGCAGGAGACTCTGTCCAGGGCTGAAATATGTCTACGTGTCTGTTCCTCCTTCCACAGGCACGCCCCTTCTTGTGCCTCTGTGTGTGTGTGTGTGTGTGTAGGCGTGGTGGATCCCTGTGTGACCATAGTAACTGGGTTGTGTACTGTGTGTGCACATGGTCAAGTATAACTGTGTGTGTACATGGAGTGTGTGCACCTGAGGGGTGTGCCCATGTGTGTACGTGGTTATTTAGTTAACAGACATTTCCTGAGTGCCCACTATGTGGCATGTCCTCTTCAAAGCGCCAGGGACACACCAAAGAGCAGACGGGTACCCTGCATTCTGTTTTCATATTCAAGTGTCCATGAAGGTGTATATAGCACAGGTTGTAACTAACTACTCGAAACTGCGCCTGCAAACGTGAAAAGGTGAACTCGTGGTTCTTGGCCTCAGGTAAGAGTTCTCCGCAAGCTCCTGCAAAGACTCCTTCCTGTCCACGACCTGGCTTTGTGCCTTGAGGGACCCACTCTCAGTGAGGTTGGGGAGTGAGGGATAGGGGCTCAGGACTCTGGGCTGACAGGTGATTCAGGGGTTCACCTTGATCCTAGGGCGACTGGGGGTTTGGGGACTTGGAGTGTATGAGGGATGGGGGGCAGGGGTCCCCATCCCCTCCAGACCTAGACCCCTGAAGCCTCACTGTGGGGGCTGGAGCAGAATGAACCAGCGACTTCCTGGAAAGCCAGAGACCCAAGGGTGATCGTCAAGATGGCCCCAAAGGTTAACACCCACCTCCCCTCCTGAAAGAGGCCATGATCCTTGAATGTGTGTGTCCTAAGAGGAAATTGAGGCCTTGTTCTCCGAGGTAGAGGTGGGGGAAACATGGGAAGAGGGGGATGGTCAGAAGAAAGTCACAGGCGTCCCCCTGGCCACCGCCTCCCTCCAGCGTCTACGTGTTCCGCTCTTTTCGCAGACACCAGCTCGGATCCCCAAAACCCCACAAAAGACAGCGCAGCGCGCAGACCCTCACCATCGTCTTCCAGGGGTTTATTTCCAGCCCCGCCCCCTCTGGGCCTGGCCACGCCCCCCAGCCCGCCCGCCGGGCGCTCGGCGGCGACTCAGGCCGCGGTCTGCAGGCGACAGCAGCGCGCCCCCGTCCAGTCCATGCCCGCGCACTGGCAGTGGCATGTGGTCTCGGCACGCACGTCCCACGAGCCACAGGAGGAGCCGCAAGTGCAGGCGGTGACGGCGAAGCCTGCGGGCGAGAGGGGAGCGAGCTTGGCCCCGAGCCGAGGCGCCAACGCCTGGGAATGGGGCCCGCATTGCTTGCGCGGGGGGAGGGGAGGCTGGGGGCCTGGCCTCGCCGGGGTCCCCAGGCAATGCGGTCCTGGAGCCGGAGCCGGGGCGGGCGGAAGGCTGGGGTGCAGGCCAGGAATTAGAGAAGTAGCCTCCAGACACAGAGGCTGTGGCGCGTCGGTTAACCTCGGTTAACCTCAGACTTCTCCGTTTCAGCTCAAGTCATGATCCCAGGGTTGTGGGATCGAGCCTCGCGTCGGGCTCCTGCTGACCATGGAGCCTGCTTGGGACTCTCTGTCTCCCTCTCTCCGCTCCTCCCCTCCTCAGTCTCTCTCAAAATAAAGAAACATTTGGAGAAAAAGAAACCGAGGCTGGTCTTGGAGGGTTTACTGGGCACCGGGAATATAACTGGGAGCCGGGACACAGGACTTCGGCACTCACCTGAGGGGCAGGTGGCCAGGTCACCCCTGGAGGTGACGGTTCGGCAGCTCAGCCCAAGGGTCCTCAGGGTCTCCAGGACTGCGGGAGAAGAAGGGTCCGACTGAGACCTAGCTGCCCCTCCCCCACTCCCATGCGGGCGCGGGGTCAGGCCCAGGTGGCTGGTGGAGGGCCAGGTGGGCGGCTCGCCACCTCCCAGACTGTCACCAGGTGACTGTCATAGAGGTCGGAGGATTTGGGGCTTCTGCTGAAGGCGGCGCTGGAGGGGGTCTGGGGTGGGATCACGGTTGGGGTTGGGGTTAGCTGGATGGTCGCGCCAAGGCAGGAGTCTCAGGGGCCTCGGAGGCCCTGCTGCGGTGGGAAGCGAGGGTCCTCACTTGCGTGGGAAGCATCGTGGACCTTCTCGTTGATGGCTTCCTCCACTGGACACAGAGACCGGCCGCACACCAGCAGCGCCAGGCCAGCGAGGAGGAGGGGGAGGAGGGGCAGAGCCTTCATCGCGCACGCGCTGCAAGAGGAACGAAGACACCCACAGCTGGGTCACCCCTTCTCATCCGGGGCCTACAAAGCGGGTGGGCTATGGAATCCTGGTCCCCGTATGGGGGGTGGGGACTGGAGTCCCGGCTTTGCCATGGCCCCCCGGGGCTGGGGCTCAGGGCTGAGCAGAAGCAGCCGGCACTTACCCCCTGGATGGACTCAGCAAGCCAAATCCGGGACACTGACTTCACGCCCCTGCCACACCTCCCTCTTTAAAGCTTCTGGATGAGGAGCTTCCTGACTTGGCGAAGTTTCTTGCCCCCCCCCCCCCGCCCCGTCCCTTCTATCCCACATCCGGGGCCAAGAGGAAGCCCCCAGGCCAGACTCCAGGGGCCTAGGAGTGGGAAGCCCGGCCCCCCCACCCCCCGCCAGTTTCCCCATTCAAGAGCCCTCCCATGTCACAATCCGGCTGGGATTGGTCCTGGAGGTAGTACCAGGGGCAGGATTCCTTAAACCCTGTCAGTCCGAGGCACTGGGACTTTGCCTGCAGGGGTGGGGAGTGCAGGCACGGCCAAAAATAACTTCCCTGCATGAGAAATGCAGCCGGCATTCACACCCGGATGCCTTTCCACAATGGGATGGATGCATTCAAGGTTTATTTCCCTCCAATGGAACATCCGCAACAGACGGTGGCAAACTACAGCCCAGGGGACAAATCGGGCCCATTGTCTATTTCTGACAGTGGGCAAAGCAAGGTTTCACATTTTGGGGTTTTTTAATTATTATTTTTTCAATGTTTATTTACTGTTGAGGGCGAGAGAGACTGAGCGTGAGCAGGGGAGGGGCAGAGAGAGAGGGAGACACAGAATCTGAAGCAGGCTCCAGGCTCTGAGCTGTCAGCACAGAGCCTGACGTGGGGCTCGAACCCACGGACTGTGAGATCATGACCTGAGCCGAAGTCGGATGCTTCACTGACAGAGACACCCAGGCGCCCCAGAACCTCATTCCTTTTTAGGGCTAATATTCCATTGTGTGGACTCACCACCTTGTGTATATCCATTTAGTTGTGGATTGTGTTCTTTCCACCTCTTGGCTGCTGTGAATAATGCCCTCTGTAATCACTGGTGTAGAAGCATCTCTGAATCCCTGCTTTCAGTTTTCTGGGGGTAAATACCCAGAGTGGGATTGCTGGGTCATGTGGCAATTCTATGTTTAACTCTTTGAGCAGCTGCCAAAGAGTTTTTACTGTTAAATCGTTGGGGGAAAAAATGTAATCCTTAGCGACATATGAAATTCAAATCCCAGTGCCCATAAATAAAGGGTTCTTGGAACATGGCCATGGCCACTTTTTTTATAGATTGTCTGAGACTGCTTTCCTAGATCAGTGGCAGAGTCGAGAAGTTGTAACAGAGACAGACTTTATGGCCTGCAGAGGTGAACCCAGCTATATCTGCCCCTTTACCAAAAAAAAAAAAAAAATTGCCCACCCCTGGACGACAGAAGTGACTATGAATGAGAGATCACAATGTATTGTTTGCAGCTATATGCAACAGTCTAGAAGATTCTCACCAATATAATTGTGAGCAAAACAATCTTGGCTGTGGGTGCCTGGGTGGCTCAGTTGGTTAAGTGCCCAACTTTGGCTCAGGTCATGATCTCGCTGTTCGTGAGTTTGAGCCCCCAAGTCAGGCTCTGTGCTGACAGCTGAGCCTGGAGCCTGCTTCAGATTCTGTGTCTCCCTCTCTCTGCCCCTCCCCTGTTTATGTTCTCTCAAAAATAAATAAACATTAGGGGCGCCTGGGTGGCTTAGTCGGTTAAGCGTCCGACTTTCGCTTAGGTCATGATCTCGCAGTTCGTGGGTTCGAGCCCCGCGTCGGGCTCTGTGCTGACTGCCAGCTCAGAGCCTGGAGCCTATTTCAGAGTCTGTGACTCCCTCTCTCTCTGACCCTCCCCTGCTCACGCTGTCTTTCTCTCTCTCCCTCCTAGAAATAAATAAAACATTAAAAAAATTTAAAAAATAAATAAATAAATAAACATTAAAAAAGAAAGAAAGAAAGAAAGAAAGAAAGAAAGAAAGAAAGAAAGAAAGAAAGAAAGAAAGAAACTAGATCCAAAGAAGAACATACCACACAAATTCATTTACTAAAAAGGCACCCAAAAATGGGTGCCTAGGCGGCTTAGTTGGTTGAGTGTCCAAATTTTGGTTTTGGCTCAGGTTCATGGGTGTAAGCCCCACATGGGGCTCTGTGCTGACAGAGAGAATGGGATTCTCTGTCTCCCGCTCTCTCTCTGTCCTTCCGCTGCTCACGTGCACTCTCAAAAATAAGTTTAAAAAATATACATTTAGGGGCACCTGGATGTCTTAGTCGGTTAAGCATCCAACTTTCGCTTGGGTCATGATCTCGCGGTTCATGGGTTCGAGCCCCGCGTCGGGCTCTGTGCTGACTGCCAGCTCAGAGCCTGGAGCCTGTTTCAGTCTGTGACTCCCTCTCTCTCTGACCCTCCCCTGCTCACGCTGTCTGTCTCTCTCCTAGAAATAAATTTAAAAAAAACATTTAAAAAAATAAAATAAAAAATATACATTTAATAAACAAAAGGAAAAGAAAGAAAGAAAGAAAGAAAGAAAAGAAAGAAGAGAAAAGAAAAAACACAACTAGGGGCGCCTGGGTGGCTCAGTCGGTTAATAGGGGCGCCTGGGTGGCTCAGTCGGTTAAGCATCTGACTTCGACTCAGGTCATGGTCTCACGGTTCGTGGGTTCGAGCCCCGCATCGGGCTCTGTGCTGACACCTAGCTCAGAGCCTGGAGCCTGTTTCAGATTCTGTGTCTCCCTCTCTCTCTGACCCTCCCCTGCTCAAGCTGTCTCTCTCTCTCTCTGTCAGAAATAAATAAAACATTTTTAAAAGTTAAAAAAAAACACAACTAAGCTGTTGGAGATGAGGATGGAGGTTCAGTTTTCTGGGGAGTCTGATGAGCAAAGGGCAGATAAAGGGCTTCTGGAATGTAGTGAAAAATTTGAGCTTATGCTCAGATCTGCACCCATTTCTTTCTGCATGTCTTATCTCAGGAAAAGTGATATGTGTGTGTGAAATCCCTATGTAAATACAACTGTATCTATAGGCCAAAGTGTAGGCAATACTTACTGAGCACCTATCATGTGCCAGCCGTGATGCTATGCACGATGCTTGTGTGAGAAGCAAGGGGACACCCCCACATGCACTTTGCCCCTGTCTGTGGGAGGAAGACAGACACCAAGGGAACGCTTGGTTAGCCTCAAACTCCACCACTCAATTGTCCCCTGAAGGAGAGGAACCTGGTTCGGGGAGAACTTCTGACATTAGAATGTCCCACCCAAGGGGCGCCTGGGTAGCTCAGTCGGTTGAGCGTCTGACTCTTGAGTTTGGCTCAGGTCATGATCCCCCAGTTTGTGGCTCCGAGGCCCAGATCAGATTCGGTGCTGAGAGTGTGCGGAGCCTGCTTGGGATTCTCTCTCCATCCTTCCCTCTGTCTCTCCTCTCCCAGTCTCAAAATAAATGACTTAAAAAAAAAAAGAAAGAAAGAAAAGAGACAAGAACATGGCCCCCAGTGGAAGAATCTAGAGAGGCTTTGTGGAGGAAGAGATATCTGAGCAGTAATCAGAGGATAAGCAAAAGTTAAGCAAGAGAAGGGGCGCCTGGGTGACTCAGTTGGTTAAGCGTCCAACTTCAGCTCAGGTCATGATCTCACGGTTTGTGGGTTCGAGCCCCGCGTCAGGCTCTGTGCTGACAGCTAGATCAGAGCCTGGAGCCTGCTTCGGATTCTGTGTCTCCCTCTCTCTCTGACTCTCCCCTGCTCATGCTGTCTCTATCTCTCTCTCCAAAATAAATAAAACATTTAAAAAAAAGAAAAAAAAGCAAGAGAAGCAGTGAGGGAGGGCTTTCGGGGTGGAAGGAACGGCATGTCCCAAGGCCCTGGGGAAGAACAGGGTGCACCAGCTTTGAGGAACTGAAAGCAAACTAGGGGACAGGATGGCAGAGAGCCTGGCCTGGATAAACAACATCGCAGGCTCCCTTCCTTGAAGATGCCCAGGCACAGCTTGGGCCTGAGGGTAGCTCCGGAGGCAGCAAAAGTCATGTTTTGAGAGTTCTTATTCTTCAAATCATTTCATCTCAGAACTTTTCAGGTAGAAGCTTTTGAGGGTCACCGAAGAAGAAGGCGGCTCTGACTACTGGCTGGGTGAAAAGCAGAGGGGAGTATGAGGAACCCTTAGGGTTCCTTGGGATCTTAGTTTGAAAACCCTCAGTTAAGTAACAGGAAAGGGCCACGTGCCTTTTGCCTTTTAAGAAAATATTTTCGGGGCGCTTGGCTGGCTCAGTCGGAAAAGCATTCGACTCTTACTCTGGGCCGTGAATTCTAGGCCCATGTTGGGTGCAGAGATTACTTAAAAAAGTAAAGTTTAAAAAAAAGGGGGGGCGCCTGGGTGGCTCAGTGGATTGAACATCTGACTCTTGGTTTAGGCTCAGGTCATGATCTCAAGTCTCATGGGATCGAGCCCTGCACGGGGCTCTGCGCTGACAGCGTGAAGCCTGCTTGGGATTCTCTCTCTGTCTGCCCCTCCCCTGCTCATGCTTGCTCTCTCTCTCTCAAAATAAATAAATAAACATTAAAAAAAAAAAAGAAAAAGAAAGGAAAATAGAAGTGCCTGGGTGGCTCAGTCAGTTAAGTGTCTAACTTCGACTCAGGTCATAATCTTTCCGTTTGTGAGTTCGAGCCCCACGTTGGGCTCTGTGCTGACAGCTCAGAGCCTGGAGCCTGCTTAAGATTCTGTGTCTCCCTCTCTCTCAGTCCCTCCTCGACTCACGCTGCCTCTGTCTCAAAAATAAACATTAAAAAAAGTATTAAAAAAGAAAATATTTTCATTACCTCTGACTTCTTTTTTTAATGTTAACTGATTTATTTTTGATATAGAGGGCTCGAGAGGGGGAGGAGCAGAGAGAGGAGAGAGCCAAAATCAAGAGTCGGACACTTAAAGCGACTGACCGCCTCTTACCTGGCCCCCCAGATTTCTATCAATGAAACTGAGTTCCAATGGCCTCAATTTTGCAACCCATGCTATCAAATAAAATTCCAGAGCCCAGTCTTTAAAATGTACCATAAGACAATCACACACTTCACTGAAGTATGATTTTCGTTAAATAAAACGCATCTATCTTAAGCGTTCAGTTGGATGCATTTTGACAAACACATACACCTGCAGGAGGCACGAATGTTTTGTTTTTACCAAGTACTGTCTCTTTGAAATATA